GGTGCTATTTTGAGTACAAACTCAAATGATTGTAGCCTACATGTTTTACAATTATCCAGGCTATTTATGAATTTTAGAGTTAAATAGACTTGAATTTAGTTTCTGGCTTTGCCTCATACTAACCAAGTATCCCCATTTAATAAGCCTCAGTTTCCTTATCTGTAATATGGGGGCTTAAAATCACCTACCCCATACTGTTGCTATAAAGAATAAATTATATTATATATGTCTGTATTTATGCACTAATATATATGTAAAGATTTTAGTACTGTGCATGCCACACCATAAGAACTCACTAAATGGTAAATTATGTATTTTTTCAATTGCCACTCTCCATTCTTAATTGGTATATCTTTCTGATACACTCTCTGAGAAATTAGATTTGTTATTAGCTGTGTAAAATATACCCCAAAGAGGAAGAATACATGCTGAACTAGTATTAAAGTTATTTTTAAGTAGAGGAATGGAAAAAGCAGAACAGAAATAAAAACTTACCTATTTTACTGAAAATACTTACAAATTTCTTAAACCTTTGATGATGAAAATATGCTTATAATTTATTTATATGTTAAAAATAATTATTGAAAAGAAAAGAATAAAATAGTGGCAGGCATATATCCAAAATACTTTCTTAGCTGACAAAAATTAACATTTTATGCAATGGAATGATCTCTACTGGGAAAAAAAATTAACATTTTAAAAACTTGCATAATGTAGTTTTAAATTTTATCTTCCTATTATTATAATTTATAAGAAAACAAATCTAGTGAATTTTACGAAGCATAAATATTTGCTTGTTAAACAATAAAGTCTGAAATGAATATCTGTTTGTCATTTTCAAAACTGTCTTCAAATCTACCCTTCTGATTTCTATTCTTCTTGTCTATAAACATGCATTATCATAGGCTAGAGCTAGATGGATTTAATTATGGTCCAACACAAATGGAAAGTGAAATATGAAAAGGATATTTCCATTTATATAGCAATAAGTTAACATTAAATCTAGCTTTATAATGTTTAACTTTGCGATATCTGGCTAAAACACAATTGCTTGATAGGATGGAAATTAAAACCACTAATGGGATACCTTGTTCTATAATTCAGGGTTGAGGATTATGAAGCTAAGGTCATTATCTTTATTGCTTTGAGGGAAGAAAAGGCAGGTAAACACATTTAAATGAGCCTGTGGGCCTGGGCGCCCTGCAAGGACACCATAGAAGACCAGGTCACTGGCCTCGAGAAATTTATAAGCCTGTGGCAGATAGAATATGATCACTCAAGAAACAAATTAGTAACAAATGCCTGCAAGTGAACTGACTATAGGACAGAGAAAAGAACAACACTTGAAAGAGAAGATCATGCAAAGGAAAAGTGAATTAGAAGGCGAAACACCCAGCAAAATCCTGCAATTCCTCTGCACTCCACAAACCAGAACAGAATTCTAATTCCTGGCGTGCTGGTATTGACAACACAATCTACTGGGAGAGTTTTTTCAGCATTTAAAAACTGGGAGAGGCCTGGTACAGTGGGCGCTATAGTCCTAGCACTCTGGGAGGCTGAGGTAGGAGGAGTTTGAGACCAGCCTGAGCAAGAGTGAGACCCAGTCTCTACTAAAAATAGAAAAATAAGGCAGACTTCCTGGCGTCTGCCTGTAGTCCCAGCTACTCGGGAGGCTGAGGCAGGAGGATCACTGAAGCCCAGGAATTTGAGGTTGCTGTGAGCTAGGCTGACGCCACGGCACTCTAGTCCGGGCAGCAGAGTGAGACTCTGTCTCAAAATAAAAATATAAAACTAAAAGAAAAAAGAAATTGAACCTTATTTCCCCCCTTCGTATTCTAAAAATATATATAATAAAATAAAAACTGGGAGGGAGAATAAAGATTTATCTGGCAAATCTTTTTTTTTTAATTTTAGGTAAATACTTTGTTTATAGGCAGCTATGTAGAGGACACGTATCTCATAAAGGAAAGAAATCATACATGCACCTTGTATTTTAAGCTCCAAATGATTCTCCTAAAAATACAAAAGTGTAAACTAGATATTTGGCATCAAAAATTTAAAAGAAGAATGTACTATGTCTCTCTTAAAATAAAGTAATATATTTGTTCCAACCTTGCAGGATACAAATGCTTTTATTTTTTTTTTAGACAGAGTCTCACTCTGTTGCCTAGGCTAGAGTGCTATGGCATCAGCCTAGCTCACAGCAACTTCAAACTTCTGGGCTCAAGTGATCCTCCTGCTTCAGCCTCCCAAGTAGCTAGGACTACAGGCATACACCACCATGCCTGGCTAATTTTTTCTATCTATTTTTAGTTGGCCAATTAATTTGCTTCTATTTTTAGTAGGGACGGGGTCTCACTCTTGCTCAGACTGGTTTCAAACTCCTGACCTTGAGTGATCCACTCGCCTTGGCCTCCCAGAGTGCTGGGATTACAGGCGTGAGCCACCGCGCCCGGCCAATACAAATGCTTTATGTATTATTAAATTTAATTCCTTTTTCATCTCTACACTTTCTCCTAGACTATTGGAATTTCCTCTAACTGATTTCTCTCTTCTTTTTCCTGTATTTTTGCCCTGCTTATTTTTCTTTTTCTATTTGCAGGGCTAGTGAAACTAGACAACTATAGTCCAGTAGTTCCGTAAACTTAAGCTTTAATGGTAAGAAAATAAAATTAAATTAGGGGGCAACAACATGGGATTACCAATTTTCTTTTTGTTTTGCTAATGACAGACATCAAAAACTAATTTTAAAACACTGAATAAATTTAGTTTTATACAAAATTCATCACATTGTACTTAGTTCTTTTATTTCTTCTTGGACTAGTGAAAAACTGATTACTGGCTGACCCCAGTCTGGAGGCTTGTGACACGCCGCTCTCCTCTCAAACAGCCGGTCTCCCGGCCCGCAGCCTCAGGTTATAAACAGAAGGTTAGTTCTATATTTCCTTTGTTCTATGATTACAAAAAATCTACATTAAAACACTTAAAATTATGTTTACTTTATTGTTAAAGGAAATACAGTCTTCAGTGACTTCGGCACTTTGGAAGATCGTGTGTGTTGTCGTTATCTGGCTCCCATTTACTGTTACAGCCTCTTCTTCTGACCACTTACACCCCCGCCCCGTGTGCTCTCACCCCCACACATGCACACGCGTGCCTCTGAGGCCTGGCCCACTGTATTGTCTTTGTGCTTTAACATGTACTGTTTACTCCTTGAGGGACTTTGCATTTTTATTTATTTATTTATTTATTTATTTATTTATTTATTTATTTTTGAGACAGAGTCTCGCTTTGTTGTCCAGGCTAGAGCGAGTGCCATGGCGTCAGCCTAGCTCACAGCAACCTCAAACTCCTGGGCTCAAGCAATCCTCCTGCCTCAGCCTCCCGAGTAGCTGGGACTACAGGCACGCGCCACCATGCCCGGCTAATTTTTTCTATATATATTAGTTGGCCAATTAATTTCTTTCTATTTATAGTAGAGACGGGGTCTCACTCTTGCTCAGGCTGGTTTCGAACTCTTGACCTTGAGTAATCCACCCGCCTCGGCCTCCCAGAGTGCTAGGATTACAGGCATGAGCCACTGCGCCTGGCCCAGGACTTTGCATTTAAAACCCAATTCAAAGACCAACTTCTAGGGGAAGCCCTCCTGGGTTGCTCTGAGCAGAGGTAGTGATTGATGTCTTCCTCTGCTTACACACACACACACACACAGACACACACACATGAACATAAAATCGCCCTTGTAATGCCTGTTATAATATTGTGCGGCAATATTTTATCTATATATTATTTTCTAGAAAAGTTCCTTGAAGATAGAAACTATATCATTTCAGATTTTTTGTTATGCAATTAATGTACCTTGCTGGAAAGTAAAAATATATTAGGCAGAAGTCATCTACTCTCAGTTTTGAAATTATAATCTTTCTTTTAACCTGATTAAACTCTTAGGCAAGACTCCTCTTGTATAGGTTTGTATTGGCAAAAGAAAGTAGGACAGAGATGTATTCTCCCACTGGTGTGAATTTTGCAACTGAGACCACCTTCTAAACCACTCTCTGCCACTCCCACATCAACCCTTAGAAGACAGAAGGACTATAGGCAATGGTTTTTATTTATATGTTTAAGATAGCACTCCCCACCCTCAATGGATCTATGTATATTTATGAATAATGGACACAAAAATCCTGATGGGTCTATATGCGTGCTGCTATGGGTTGGCTACTTGACCCCATCAAACCTCATGATGAAATTGGATCCCCAGCCAGGCGCAGTGGCTCGCGACTGACATCCCAGCACCCTCCGGAGGCCAAGGAGGAGGATAGCTGGAGCTCAGGATTTCAAGACCAGCTTGAGCAAGAGCGAGACCCCATCTCTACTAAAAAGAAAAAAAGAAAAATAAATTTGATCTCCAGTGTTTGAGGTGGTTCCTCACGGGAGGTGTTTGGGTCATGGAGGCAGATCCATCCCCTCCCTGCGTGTGGAGGTGAGAAGTTCTTACTCCGTTAGTTCCTGCAGGGGCTTAAGAGCCTGCTGTCAAGAAGAGCCGCACCTCACCTCGGGCCTGCCGCCTCCCGCGGCCTCTGCGGCCACGAGGGGCCAGGCCGCGCCCGCCCGGCCGCCCGCCAGCCCTTCTCCCTCAGCTGCCCAGCTTCAGGTGTTCCTTCACAGCAGCACCAAAGGACTGAGACACACACACACCCCAAAAGTAAACGGTGCTGTGGACATATATTTTCCTTTAGTGGGAGCGTCTTTCCCTGCCAATGTACTTTCATTTCATCGTTTTTATAGCTGCCTAGACAGACTGCACGGCTGTGTTTTATTTGGATTTTTATTCTCTGGCATAATGTCTGAAACAAATATTTGTCAAATAAAGGACAAAACATCTCAGTGCTTTTATCTAAGCCTGATTTGAGAACCTAGTGAGTCCAGAAGAGACCTTCACGGCAGCCTCCAGTGAGAAAACAGGAAAGGAAAAGAAGTGGCGGCAATGCAGTGACTCATTCTGTTTTTGTGTTTAATTTTCTCTTATCATAAAGTGAAAAACAGTGGCTGAAAAAAAAAGAAGATGTGGTTTTACAACGCATCATCATTTCCTCACGAAAATGACAATGTGGGAACAGGATCACGAAGATTGCTGGGCGCCGATGACGCGCGGCGCGGGGCGCTGAGCGCTCTCAGTCGTGCCATGAATAAAGTGACTGCGAAAATAATAAATTGCTTTGAGAACTCCTTAAGTGTACAGACTTCTTTAAAGACTTGTAACCTTGAACTACCCCCCCCCCCAGGGCCTCTCCTCCTTCTGCACCTTCCTGCATAGAGATTTGAGCAGGACGTGAAGGTCCACGGCCCACACCCCATCAAACTGGCCTGCTGCTGCCAAGAGGCTCCAGAGCAGCCATTGTTCTCAGTCAGAAGAGATGGCCTTTGCTTTACCTTCTCCCGGAACAGGGTTGAGGGAATGCAGTGGTTACTTAGTACTGTGAGTAGCCTACTCAAAAGCCAGTCTCCTTTTCTCTTTGTTAGCAAAGTCCTGACTTTGCTTGAATGTTCAGTTCCTCTGTGATTCAAAGATAAAATCCTGCTTAGTTTTGGTAATCCTCTTCCCTCTTCAGAGACTGGTTTAGGGGTGAGTATATGATCTAGTTCTAGCCAATGGCAAATCCCCTAGAGAGCTTCTGGAAAAGGTCTCCTCATTACCAGTAGGAGACCCAGGGATGGAGCAGCCTCTCTTCTCATACAGGATGCCATGGTGCCTGCAGGAAGGCCAAGACTGCAGAGCCAGCCGTGATATGAGGAGAGATTCAACCCAGTGTGGTGAAAATGGCAAAATAGTGAAAAATGGAAAAAAAACAAGTTTCCCTGATGAATTTGATAAGCCACTGAATTAACGTGTTCTGGAAGTACTACCTCTGGACTTCTTTTACATGAGAGAATAATAGTGGCCTTATTTGTTGAGGCTGAGGTTCTCTCCTGCTAAACTCCAGCATTAGCAAGTCCTAATGACTTCTCCGCCTATGGTTTTGCCAAATCAGGTTTCAGAACTCTTGGGACATACATGTTCTTTACAATTCATGAATCTTTATCCACACTACTCTATCCATGGAAAATAACTGCATATTATATTGCACTGATATCTAGTGAAAATATATCCATTCTTCAAATCTAGTCTAAATCTTATTACCTGAGATAGCCTTCCAACATTCCACTGGTCAAAATCACTTCTTCAGTCTCTGTATTACACTTGGTTTGGATCAGTTTTTTTGTCGTTATGCTTTTTTGCCTTAATCTATAGGTATACATTATCAGTCTCCTCAAATAAATATAAAACTTCTTTAAGGCAGAAATGAAATAATTTTTGCCAAATGACTCAAGGAATGATGCATTTTCCAGCTAGTCTCTCTCTTGCAGCCCCAGCACACTGCCTCTTAGCAGGTGCTGCACACAATTTGCCAGACTGGTCAAGTGTGAAATGAAAGGGTTGGATTAAATGACACTGAAAATCCCTTCTGACTCTAAGATATAGTGATGATATCTAAACTGAAGTGAAATCATGCTTCTCAGAGATACATAGAAATATGAGAGTTGAATAGAAAAAAAGGAAAACTGGAAGTGAAATACAAATAGCTTGAACTTTTTCATGATTAGTGTTTTTAAAACTACACTTCTATTTTTGAACATCTTTACTCATGATATTTACTTTTTGATGACTATCTAGGATAGCTCTTTGCAAATGCAGAAAGTCCTGTTGTTTGGGAGGAATGTGCTGGAAATAGAATCTCATAATCCATAGCTGATCATAAATCTTTTATAGCCCTGCCAATATTCCGGGATTTATTGTAGAGTTTTCTGTCCTTGTTTTAAACTTTGCACATCCCTGATATGTTGGACTTGGAGGAGGATTTGCTTTGCTTGAGGAAAACACGCCAGTGGGCTATTTTTGAACTGGCTTTTGACATTTAGACTTGGAAATACTGTATTTCCAAGATACTTATCCTTCAATAAGCTTGCGATGCAGATGTAAAAGTAAATCAAGTTAAAATTTTAATCATCTGTTGATATGAGTTTTCGTAGAGGATTTCCCTATTGTGTACTTCTCTTTGTGTACATTAATTGATGGGTACAAAAATAAATACAAGATGGGGAAAAGTATGCAAGGTTCAAGAATTCCCTTAATTATCCCTTAATTACTTACCTTACATCCTCATTTCTAAGGTCTGTGAGCACAGGAAAGGCACACACAATCCCCAGAGGCTCTGTGTTTTGGTTTAGCTTAATGATGGCTCAAATCTCTGCTTGTTTTTCTACGGCTACCTCGATTAGTTCTATTGGCTCTCGTGTGAACGTGAACGGGCAGCTAGGCTCACGTTAGCTACTTGGAAGGTTCCACTGAAGAGACAGAGTGGAGGTGGGGCTGCAGAGGAGACAAAAGGAGGAAGAAAATGAAGGCTGCTGCAGGTGGGTAAGAGAGCGAGGGGGGGACTGATTCCTTGACCGGGCACGGAATGGAGACTCACCCAGCCACAGCCCTGAAGCTTCTGAGGCAGAAAACCCTGATGTGAGCTTGCCTAGAGGCAGGCAGGCCTGGGCAGTTTGGTAGAATTACCCGTAGCCAAAGCAAGTACAAATTGCAGAAGTGGCGGTACCAATAAATGCCTGCTGTGTTAAATTGAACTATGTTTTTGACTGGTGACCATTTTCATGTTCTCAAATGAAAAGTAGCTACTAAATCAACCTGTTTTCAGTTTCTGTAAAACATAGCTCAGTATCTCTGCACCCTTGCTCATGTTATTTCCTCTATCTGGAAATATCTCCATTTCTCCCCTATCCTTTGCCCTTTCCCCCAAATTCGAGAGCACCTAAACATTCCTTAAAGGCTTGCTTCTCTGAACCCTTTCCTGACCCCACTGTTATCTCTCTTCAGGTAGAATTTACCATCCTGTTTTTGAGCTTCCCACTGTATATGGTAAAATGTGCGTATCCCCTATAATACCTTAATGTCTTTATTTTGTATATCTTCTGTTTTTGTGTTTTTGCCTTCTTTAGGGCAGGGACTGGCTCCTAATCATCTTTAAATCCCACGAAATCAGTGCAGAGCCTGGCTTATTGCAGGGATTTAACATATGTTAGTTCCATGCGCAAATAAATGAAGAGTGGTGAGGGAAGAGGTTCGGAGACTAAACTGGTAAGGGTTTAAGGATTTCAAAGCTTTACCTGGTGGATATGTGCAATGGTGGTTTCCACCCTGCAACTACTTCAAAAACCGTGATTCCATGGGGTGTGGACACTGCAATGACAGCATCCTCCCTGCTGCTTAGGAATCCTGCTATGAGTGTACTATCTGGGCTTATCGTCTCTTTCCCCAGCTAAATCCCATGTAATCTTGTAGAAGCAATGAAAAATATCTAATTCTAAATATCTAAGTTTGCAAATTTGTATCTAAATTTATTCAATAACCTTCACCAAGTATTTAATGAGCATTTATGGTGTTCCTGGCACGATGCTAACCCACACGGTGGGTGACAGGATTCTGTAATTTACAAAACCTACATAAGTTGCTGTCTCTCCTTTGAAGTTCCCAAGAAAAAAATCCCAGAAAGCAATTCACTACTGTCCCACATTTCAACTTTTTCCTATATTTATTGGTAATAAATGAAGAGTTCAGCAGGAAATCTCTCCTCTGCTCTGGAAGGTATTTGAGTCTCTAGGAAAGAATATAGGCTTTGGAGGCAGGCAGATCAGTCTTGGACTCCCCTCTCTTTGCTTGAAGTGATATGGTAATTCACCCAACACCTATAAACACCAATTTCTTTTTTTTTTTTATGTGTACCTCTGCTTGAAAATCAAATCATCAATTTCTTCAACAAAAATGATAATACCTATCATTTGTGGTTGTAGTAAGAGTGAAATGAAATAATGAACATGGGACTATATCTAGGAAATATTAATACTGCTCAGAAGCCGTCAGGTACTCTCAGTATGACTGTGCTGTCTTATGGTTCACAGTTGTAAGAGCAACCTTCAGCAAACCTTGTAACATCTATGTGAGTGTGTATCATTTGCACATTTACAGGAGACTCTACATATTAGACTCTTTTCTGGAGTGATAGGGCTTGCTTGTAACATACTGTAAACATACCTTGATGGATAAAAGAACCATCCCCACAACACTGGGATTTCTTTCTTGGGGTCTTAGAACCGTTCCAGGCCCAGACTTCTACTGCTCAGCTTTGCTAGGACTGGAAGAGAGGCAGTATGTGTGCTTTTAAAGGACAGCACCAGACATAGAATTTGCACTATGGAATTAAAAATGCTCAAATTTGCCACTAACTAGGCAATTGATGATGAACAAGTGAATTAAACATTCCATGGTAGGCAGAATAACGCCCACCTTCATGAGTCCATGCCCTGGTCCCTGGGGTGTGTAAATATGTTGCCTCTCATGGCAAGAGGGTCTGTGTATTACAGATATGATTAAGTTAAGGCCTTGAGACAGGATATCCTGGATTATCTAGTTGGACTCAGTGTCATAATGGGGTCCTCATGAGAGGGATGAAGGAAGAATCGGAGTCAGAAAAAGGAGATGGGACACTGAAATCAGTTTGGAATGATGTGCACTGAAGGTGGAGGAAGGGGCCATAAGCCAAGGAATGAAGGCAGCAAAGCAACAAATTCTCCCCTGAAACCTGCAGAAGAAACATGGCTCTGCTGATAATGTTTTAAGCCACTAATTGTGGCAATGTGTTGCATCAGCAATTGAAAACGAAAACACATCTTAAGTGTTAGTTTCTTATTTCTAAAATAATAATGCTATACAATGAAAGTTTATTGTGTCAGGTAATATTTTAGCCATGTAGGACACAACACTTAATACAAAGTCCCTGCCATCAGTGAGCTTAGTTATTGTGGAGAGACAGATAATGTAAAAAAAATTATTCTGTACATGTGTAACTTTGTCTCAAGCGGTACAAAAGTAATGCATATAACTAAAACATTTGTACCCCTGTAATATTCTGAAATAAAAATATGTACAGCTATTATAGACCCATAATAATTAAAAATAATTTTTTAAAAAGAAAAATATATCATTATGATCACAATGAGATATCATTTTATAGCTTTTAGAATGGCTATTATCAAAAAAACAGAAAACAAGGATATGGAGAAAAAGGAAACCTTATGCACCGCTGTTGGGGATGTAAGGCTGAAAGGAGAAACAGTGCACAATGGAGCTAGTAATTCATTTTGTTTTATTTATTTTTTGAGACAGAGTCTTACTTTGTTGCCCAGGCTAGAGTGAGTGCCGTGGCATCAGCCTAGCTCACAGCAACCTCAAACTCCTGGGCTCAAGCGATCCTCCTGCCTCAGCCTCCCGAGTAGCTGGGACTACAGGCATGCGCCACCATGCCTGGCTAATTTTTTGTATATATATTTTTAGTTAGTCAATTAACTTCTTTCTATTTTTAGTAGAGACGGGGTCTTGCTCTTGCTCAAGCTGGTTTCAAACTCCTGACCTCAAGCAATCCGCCCACCTCGGCCTCCCAGAGTGCTGGGATTACAGGCGTGAGCCACCGCGCCCGGCCTGGAGCTAGTAATTCATTTTAAGTTGAGAACATTTTAAAAAGATTAGTTGTCATTTAAAAATCACTTTGGTGCCTAATCTTTTAATTAAAGGTTTCAAAACATGATTCCTGCCCTGTGGTCGCACTAAGTGGGCTTTGCCCTCTCCAAGTATGTAGAGCTTCTCCTTTTCGAGTATGGAGTCAATCTCCTGATTCTCCTTCTAGCTCCATGGGATGCCTCTTTTCCCCTGTGTGCATTCCAGCCGGTTTTTGGAAGTGCCGTTCTTCCTGTCTTGTGCTTCAGGACCTTTGCAAGGAGCCCTTCCTCTGTGGGAGCTCACAGAAACCGGTCCTAAGGGTAGGGGCATCTACTCAAACAGGTGAGCTTTCCTGGGGCTTTAGCGTCTGAGCCCACAGCCCTTCACGGAGGCCGCAAACCCCTAGCATTCTGGCTAGTGCCATGGCACAAGATCTGCCTCTCCCAGGAAGGGACTCCCATCTTTTGTGGTTCCAGATCACACTGGGTTGCAGACACACACCTTCACAGCCTTGTGGAGCTTGTTGTTCAAGCCAGTACGAATTCCCACAGTATCATGCTAGCTAGTTCTGCCTCAGCAAGCAGAGGGCACCATTTCCTTGGAGCTCTCTCCTAGCACGGTATCTAGTGTGTCTTAGATACTCCACAAATATCTGAAGAGTAAATGTAGTGATCCTCCCTACCTTCCTCACTTTCCCACTTCCCTCCTACCTCAGCCTGGTTTCTGTAATCCTTCATTATGATCCATCTTTGTCTACCCTCACTCCTTCCCTCTTTCTCCCTCTGTATTAGTTTTCTATGCCCAGTAACAAATCATCACAGACTGAGTGGCTTAAAAAAACACCTATGGGCAGACACAGTGGCTCACGCCTGTAATCCTAGCACTCTGGGAGGCTAAGGTGGGTGATCACTCAAGGTCAGGAGTTCAAAACCAGCCTGAGCAAGAGCGAGACGCCATCTCTACTAAATATAGAAAGAAATTAATTGGCCAACTAAAAATATATAGAAAAAATTAGCCGGGCATGGTGGCGCGTGCCTGTAGTCCCAGCTACTTGGGAGGCTGAGGCAGGAGGATTGCTTGAGCCCAGGAGTTGGAGGTTGCTGTGAGCTAGGCTGATGCCACAGCACTCTAGCCCGGGCAACAGAGTGAGACTCTGTCTCAAAAACAAAGCAATAAAACAACACCTATGTATGCTTATACAGTTTCCATGGGTCAGGGGTCCAAGCGCACCTTAGCCAAGGCTTCTCAGGGCCCACGACACTGCACCAGCCAAGATGCAGTCTTCCTCCACGCTCTCCTGACGGTCGCTGCGGAACCACACTGGCCTGCTCCCGCGAGGCCAGCAGGAGTGTCTGAGCTCAGACAAGGCCTAAGCCTTTTGTGAAGGCTTGTTTGATTAGGTCAGGCCCATCCAGAACAATCCCCTTTTGATGAGGGACTGGCAAATCTCTCGCTACATAGTATACGATACCATCGCCGCGGGAGACATCCCATCGTGTCCCAGGCCCGGCCACACTAAGGCGAGGCTTGCACCCCAGGGCTCAGGGAATCCTGGGGCCATTTACTCTGCCGCACTGGCGTCTGCATCCCTCAAACTGCCCAGTTACATTCAGCACTTCACCCCAAATACACATGCACATGGCGGAAAAAGCACACGAACAGACCGACTGCTTTCACTTTAAATTCTCAACCGCTAACTTACCCAGGAACTTCCCTTGCGCCCTCACGGTGTCCAGCAGACTGGTTTATTGTCCTGTTCCTGTTCCAGGTGAACACGCCCATCCCACACCTTCCTAACCACCCTCCCACTGCGTTGGAGCTCTAAGTTTGCCACCACTTCTGACATAACTGAATTCACCAGCTCCTAAGGTGTGGGTTTATATGCTTTTAATTTAATTTAATTTTGAAGAGTTAATGTATTCACAGGGCAAAAAACTCCAAAGACATAAAAGGACTTAAATGCTGTCCCCAGCCACCAGATTCCCTGTCTTAGAAGGAATCAATGTTCTTGTGTTTCTTTCCAGATATATTTTTAAAAGCATATAAACCCACACCTTAGAGCTGCTGTGAGTGTCCTCGCTGGAGTTGCCAGGTGGCTACGGCCACAGAGCACGGTGGCCTCCTCTGCGCTCCAGTCCTGAGCGATGGCACTGAGATTTCCGGTGTGGAACACACTTTTGGCAACAGGCCAACTAAACAATTCAATCCACCAGCAAAACGACGTCAGTGGGAAACACTGTGTGCCAATCCCTTTTTGCCTGTAATGGTGAAAACACACAAGGCACAGTTACGTGAAGCAAAAGGTGGTCAAATACTTGTGATATTCTTCAATTTCTTGTCATACCAGAGAAATGGAAAGAGAAGCAGAAAGAGAAAATCTACCAAAAAAGGAAAAATAAGGTAGGACAGTTCAGTTAAAGGTATAATTGAACGGAATCTTGAGTGTATGTTGATTTATAATTAAAATATGTTTTCTAGGAGACATCATTATTATTGATAAAAGTTTATTTCAGGCACAGTATTGTTAAATTTGTTGCCCATAAAGTATGTCAGTCTCTTATTTTTTATTTCCCAGCTAAGAGAATTCTGTCTACTCCCCAAACTGATACATTTAAGTTCTTCAGTACTATGTTCTATTATGGCAGTGACGGTGGTGGTGGTGGTTTTAAAGTAAATGCGTGCGTGTGTGCGTGTGTGTGTGTGTGTGTGTGTGTGTGTGGGGGGATGTCCTGGGGGAGATTCCTTTTTAAAAATTACTAAATATCAAAATGACTCGTGGGCAGTTCTTTCTTATTTGCTTCTGTGAAAATCCTCACTTCCTCATCTCCAGCCAGAATCTGACAGTACATATTTCCTTTCTATCTATTTTATTTTTTGACTTGGGGAATGTGAGAATAAAACAGCAATTTCCTTATTTATTACAGCTCCCTTTGCTTATCCTAAATTCTCAAACTCTTTTAACTTGCATTTATTCATTTATTTGGTGTCTAGGTAGTGAGGAATTTGGGGAAATGCCAGATTTTAATTCCTAAAATGCTAGAATACCGGGTTCACACTCATAGATTTGTTAAATAAAATTAAATTTTAGGTTGCATTAATACACGCAAGGGGCCAGTAAGGAGGACAGTAACAGCCCCTCCCTGCAGACCTGGTGACGTACAGAGTACACTGTGCTCTCGTGAGGATCTTTTTTGAGAAGGTGAAAGGAATTAGGAGGAGGGGAAAGCATAATACCTGCCTTTAAATACTGCAAGGATGAGAATGAGGACCAGAGTTTAGACTCACTGTGGTAAATGCCGAGTGGTTAAATCTGGATCAGAATTGTAGGAGGTGCAGGAATTCAGACCAAGAGCTGCGTGAAGTTGCAGGGAAATGGTCCCCCCCTTCGCGCACAGAGCTCACACTGGTTCCGGGGGCTCACACTGGTTCCGGGGGCTCACACTGGTTCCGGGGGCTCACACTGGTTCCGGGGGCTCACACTGGTTCCGGGGGTATGCTAGCACAGGCAGCAGGTTTGTGTTTCAGTTGGGTTATTGGTGAAGATGCTATTTCACAACTCTTCTGCTTCTATTTATACTCTAGAACAGTGGCTCGTGACCTTTTCTGAGTCCTGGATCAGTCTGAGAGTCTAATAAAAGGCATCGCCTCTCTCCCAAGAGACAAGTGAACGCAAGCTGCCGTTTCCTCCTGTAAATGATATTAAAAACATATACAAAGAGCACAACTCTGGGGGAGAACCCCCAGGTCCCCAAAGATCAAATTTTGAGATCAGCTGCTCTGGTTTTTTTTTTTTTTTTTTTTTGAATAAAGGCTTCATCAGAAACTTAAGATGCTTTTTATTTTTATTTTTTGGTGATATTATTAATTTTATAATTATCATTATATAATCTTGTTCTCTCCACCTGGAGCACCTCATCCCTGGGACACCTTTCCCCATGCCACTTCTCTGCCTAGGAACTTCTATTTGATCTTCAAAAACTTGACTCACATGTCGGCTCCTCTGAGGAGCCCTCCCACATCCCATCTCCCCAAACGTCCAACCCCCTGGAATCCCACAAAAATTTGCTCAGATTTCTATTATAGCCCAAGTTATATTATAAAGTGTTCATTTTCATACTTCCTACTTGTACCAAACTCAGAACTCTTGAGGGCAAGGACTATGTTTAATTATTCCTTGAGGTTCCAGTGCTTGGCTCAGCTCATTGTAGGTCAGGGGTCCTCAAACTTTTTAAACAGGGGGCCAGTTCACTGTCCCTCAGACTGTTGGAGGGCCAGACTACAGTTTAAAAAAAGCTATGAACAAATTCCTATGCACACTGCACATATCTTATTTTGAAGTAAAAAAACAAACGGGCAAAAACACCCGCATGTGGCCAGTGGGCCATAGTTTGATGACGCCTGCTGTAGGTGCTCAGGGAAGGTGAGACTGAATGAATCAACATCACACCTCGGGGACCCCCTGTCATACCAGGTACCATGCTAAGAGATGTCAATTTAAAAAGATCAGGCCTTTGGCCCCTTAAAGTTCATAAACAAATTGAGGATGTGTTCCTATCTATGCTGCAGGTAGAGTATTTATAATCACTGCACTTTACAATGATCAAACTGAGCTTCAGAGAACTTACTAGGATGGGCTGAGATCAAAACTAGAGGAAGCATGTAGCTGAGCAAGAGCCAGGCATACTTGGATTACATTTCTGGTTCTGGTGTGTGACTTTAGAGAACTTAACCTCTCTATACCTCAGTTTTCTGTTTTGTAAAGTGTGGGTAACAGTAGTGTTAACTTTCTCGAGGTGTTGTCACCTGTTGACAGTTAAATCCTTCTTATATCAGCAAGGAATTCCTAGGGCACATGTCTTTAGATAATATGTGTATAGTGCTAAGCACAAAAGCCAGCTCAGAGTAAACAATAAAGTATTAAAAAGATAGTTAATGATAGAATTAAAACAGAACTTAAGTCTTTAGGCCCTGTATAACACAATGCCTTCTGAGACATAAATAGTTTTAATAAAAGTAATAAATTAGTTTTAATAAAAATTTTAATTTTGTGCATTTCCCAGAAAGAATTTATAATGCAGTGGTGAGAACAGTAAACCAACGTCTAATTATTAATATTGTTATTTACTAGTGGTGTAATTTTGGGCAAGTTATTGTTTATTTTAATTATCTTACACTATATAACAAAATATCCTCAAAAGTTAGTGGCATAAAACTACCCTATATTTTGCTCCTGGTTTCTGTGGGTCAGGATTTCGCCATGACACCTGGGAGAAGGCTCTGCTCCCCTCAGCTTCAGCCGGCAGGTCTCAAAGACTGGCTCTGGCATCATCATTTCATTTATCTCTCGTGGGCGAGGCCAGGATGACTCAAACAGCTGGAGCCTGGGCTGTGGGGCTCCTTGGGCATCTCTCTCTGTATCTGTCTTTGCATGTGCTCTTTCTAGGGTGGTGGCCTCAGGTAGCCGTACTTCTTGCATATCAAAAAGATTTTTAAGACGTGTGTCTTGAGAGAGAGAGTGCGCACCAGGCCACAGCTGTGTCCCCTTTTTCTGCCCCAGCCTCAGAAAACACGCTCACACCCTTGCTGCCTCACGTTCTTTAGAAGCGGCTCGCTGAGGCCACTTGCATTCAAGGAGAGAGTTAGACTCCACCTTTCAGTGGAATGTTTTAGAGCCATCATGCTCTCCGAGCTTCATAATAACCTCTTTGTTAATTACTACTGTGGACAAGTGAGTGTAAATGCCCGGTGGGAGGGACGCCCAAGCGGCTGCACGAAGCGAGAGAAGCCTTCATGTCTGTCCGTAGGGAGATCACAATTTAGTTGGGGAAGATAACACTTTCCTAAGAAAAGAGAACCAAGACTATCTTTGAATAAAAAGTTCCAAATGATAAACTGTGCTCCTAATGAAGAAGAGCTACACTATTTTACTCCAGTCCCACCACTCACACGCCTTGTGACAATAACCATGACCTTCAGCGTCCCTGATTTCCATCTCCCAGAGCTCACGGCGCGGCGGAGCCTGGGGCCTGGCAGCCTCTGGGCTTGCGCCGGCGCCTTCCAGGGGCGACTCGGGCTCACTGGGTGTGAAGGAGGACTGCCTTCAATTTCCTCGTGTCTTAAAGTTGATCGAGTATGTCATATGTGCAAGTTGCTCCGCTAAGTGCTTTGGGCACTCAGAGATAAATTAGTTCGTATGTACTTAATGACCTGGTACCTGTATATCTATATTACTCAATATAGTATACAAGTAGTACATAGTTGTCCCCTCATCTATAGGCTATCTATAGGTATCTATAGGGTATTGGTTCCAGGACCTCCTTTGAATACCAAAATCCATGAACACGCAAATCCCTGATATAAAATGGGATAGTTTTTGCATGTAACCTATGCATCTCCTCCTATATATTTTAAGTGATTTCTATATGACTTACAATGTCTAACACAATACAAATACTATATAAATAGTTGTTATACTGTATTGTTTAGGGAATAGTGACAAGGAAAAAATGTCTGTACATGTATAGGTGCAATTTTCTTTCAAATGTTTTTGATCTGTAGTTGGTTGAACCCATGGATATGGAGTGCTGACTGAATATATATTCCTACAAATCTACAGATAGGAAAAACATATATTTCTTTGCCATATATATTATGTAAAAACAAATAGAAAAGAAAACATATGGATACCATGTATATATTAATCTAATATATAAAACATTCACAACTCTAAGACATATTAATACATATATAATTTATGTATACATTTAACAATTATATGCCAAACGATGGCCTGCATGACTGACAGCCCTCAGGGCAGCGGCCGGGCACTGTCTCCAGAGGCAGCATACCCAGTTACAGCTGCCTCTGTCCCTAATTTGGGCAAGTTGCTAGCCCTTACTAAACCTAAATAGCCACAAGTATAGAATAATGGGCTTGCCCTATGTATTTTACAAGGTTTCTTCAAACTCTTAAAAAGGCATTGAATAAGTTTTGGTTTTTGTTTATGATCATCTGTGACTCAAACACATGGGTTAAAACGTTCTGCTTTCTTTCTCTAGCATCTGTTGGGTTTCTATGGTGCACGTGCTTGAGTATATTCAGAATGTCCTTTAGATAAATTTATCTATTGAATACTCTATAAAGCAAAAAGAGAAAATCCTTCTTATAAGAACAACCCTGTACTGCAGATTTTTTTTACATTACAAAGTGCACCATATTTATATTTACAAATGTTAATACTAGTGCCTTGCCTTATGCGTCCCTGGACATTGTTAGGGTGTTTCATTGGTTAGAATTCTGATTTTATCTATCTCCTGGGCTCTCTGTTCCTGCCCTTTTAAGGTCCTTTTCTGGCTAGTCACAAGCACTTCTGGGCCCCAACCCAAAACCTCCTTGATGGGTAAACAGTGTATTCTCGTATACGAGGATGAGACTAAATCTTAGCAATCAGCACTCCTGGAAAAAATTATCTATTAGGGCCAGGCAATCTGAACTTTAGGAGAATTACTAAATTACACTCAATTATAGAATGCCCCACTCCTGACATCCTGGCGGGGCGTCTGCCTAGATTTTTGAGGAGGAGGGTAATGTCCAGTTTATACTCATTGCTTTTTTAAATCCTCAGTCTTATATGATGAACAGCGTGAGGCAGGAAAGGGCCAGGTAACCTGCTTAAGGCTAAAACGCAGCACGGGCGCAGGGCCGGGGCAGGAAGGGCGGCCGAGGTCCCTGCCGGGCTCGCGCTCGCATGTTTGGCGGGCGGCTCTGCGGCCGGGCTGAGGCTGCCTTACCCTGGGGACCCCGCGGGCTGAGGCTGCCTTACCCTGGGGGCCGGCGGGCTGAGGCTGCCTTACCCTGGGGGCCCCGCGGGCTGAGGCTGCCTTACCCTGGGGGCCCCGCGGGCTGAGGCTGCCTTACCCTGGGGGCCCGCGGGCTGAGGCTGCCTTACCCTGGGGAGCCCGCGGGCTGAGGCTGCCTTACCCTGGGGAGCCCGCGGGCTGAGGCTGCCTTACCCTGGGGGCCCGCGGGCTGAGGCTGCCGGACTCCTGGGAGCCCACGGGCTGAGGCTGCCGGACCCCGGGGGGGGGGGCGGGGGGCCCCGCGGGCTGAGGCTGCCGGACTCCTGGGGGCCCCGCGGGCTGAGGCTGCCGGACCCTGGGGGGCCCCGCGGGCTGAGGCTGCCGGACCCTGGGGGCCCCGCGGGCTGAGGCTGCCGACCCGGCCACTGCCTGGCGGGGCGGGGGGCCGCGCGCGTACGCCTGCATTTGCGGTCAGGGGCCTCCGGGCCGACTCGCTCCCTGTTGCCCGGCGCCGGGGGAGCGTGACAGTCGTAGCGAACCACAGGCTGAGCGAGCCCGTGGACGAAAGAAAGAAGCTTCCATTTCAGCGCTTCTCAGGGCGACGTGTCCTGCCTTTTGACCCAGCGCGCCTCACACTTCCCTTTGGCACGGCCGAGCTCGTCGCGCGGCCAGCCCTGCTGACGACGCGACCGTCTTACCGCGTGTGAATTCAGCCTGGCGCCAGCGGGTGCTCGCCTCCCTTTCCCTGAGCTCCTCGGGGTCAGGCCTGAGACGGGCGAGACCGCTCCGTGGACGCCATGGCACAGCCTGGTCCGTGGTGGGAAGACGCCTTTGCCTTCTGTTGTTCCCCACGGTCACTCTGCCTGCTTGTCCGCAGACGCGGGTGGGCAGGTGCAGGCCCCTCCCAACCCTGCTGGTGAGGAACTCAACCGGAAGGAGCTTTTCTAAGTAATGTTCATCTCCCCCGGGACGTGGCAACCACTTCTGGCCGGTCGCTAGTAGGGATGACAGTTTCCTGCAACATTAGCCGGGGCGGGCAGGAGCTGTCGGTTGACCAGGTCTCTAATAATGCCCCCTGTGGCCTCCACTCTGGAGGCTGAGGGCACAGGCGAGCACCACCTTGTGCACCCCGGGGATGACTTGGTCCCTCTCTGCCATGCTGATTCTCCCTGTACTCTAGTAGCCCTTGGGCAGATTGACCAGTCTGGTGGCTCAGACAACACCTAATTGGCAAACAGAGTACCATTTCTCACCATCTTTCAGTTGCCGAAGTGTCACGGCAATGTACAGCTCTTGATAAGGGAAACAACCAAGCGGCACAGAAAAGTTGGAGAACAGTCTTTATTCTTCCACAGCAGGCTCAGCCCAGCAAGTGTCACAGCTCTCTTCATGTTTTCTGATCTTCTGACCCTCCTTCCTTGGTCTCCTTTGGCCTTTATACCTTTGGTAGGGCTCAAAAAGCGTCCAATCAACTCCAAGCTTTAACATCCAATCAGCAACAGTGGGATTCAAAAATTACCCAATCAGGATCTCGGGCACTACAGCCGGCTGGGCCCAGCAGCGTGCCCTCCAACCGGCCTGCAGAGCACAGCCCAGCCCAGGTGGATGAGGAGCCACGGGGAGGCAGCAAGTGGCCCCAGCCCAGCGCCTGACATTTCCCGCATCACAAGAACGTCAAAGGCGAGTCTTCTGAAACTTAGCTCACAGTTTTTGAGACAGAAAGCAGTGAAAAAAGATGTCAATGGAGGAAGATGGCCTCTGCTTACAAATACTACCTTCCTCCCCTGAGAAGCCCTGTTTGGAGGCACTAGAGTTCCCTCTTGTATCTCTGTGGGTAAGGGGTGTCAAACCAGGTCATTTTCTCTCATTTCTGCAAGCAGAGCCCTCTTGGAACTTAACTCTGCTTTCAACAAAACACTAACTCTTCTTTGATCCCTGCAATCATTTGGTAATCTCTCAGGGCAGGAAAAGATCTTAATTAGCAGTACCCCACAAAAGCCTATTATCCACATGAAGACATATCATTTTGCACCTTTAACGCAGTAAATATACATGTCAACGTCATGAATAAATATTTACACGGTGTCTATTATGAGCATAACATTTAGGGGGATTCTGTGTAAGGCTTCGCCCTTATCTTTGAGGACTTTTTAAAGGAGTTGGCGAGAAGGGACATAACTAGGGACATGAGGAACGATGCTTGCTGAGACATGCGAAGTGCATAAGCAGCAGGGCGGTCTGAAGCTGGAGAGAGGAGCGTCTCCGCGGCAGGACGTGTTTGCGCCGACGCGGGCCGGAGGGCGCAGGGCACGGTCCGGGGGCGCCATTTACACACGCGCTGCGGGAAGCGAAATGCCTTCCAGAGGGGGATGAGAGCAGCGTTCAGATTGCTGCGTCTGAGAAATGCTTCACTACACACAGCATCTTGCCCACCGCCTCCTTCAGTAGCTCCCAGCCCTTCCTCCAGGGGAGCCACCCTGCAGCAGGTGACCAGAGTCGCTCACAGCCGGTGCTGGGGGCGGTTCCGCCAGACTCTGCAGGCTGCCCTTCGGCACTCCAGAGCCAGGCCCACGCCCCTCCAGTCTGCCGGATCGTGTTCACCGTCAGCAGTTAACTAGTGAGGCCCACAGACAGATATGCTCAGGACTCAGACTCGCAGTTCCCTCTCAGCTATGAACCCAGATACCTAGGAGGAATGACTTCTCTTCCTCCGGCCAAAATACCTGTCTTAGGTCGGGCTCCCTGGAACGCAGAGCCTGTGTGTGTGGGGTAAGCTCTGAGCATAAAACCACATTGCAGCTCGTCTCCTTGAAGTACGGAGGCCACACTCTTGTAGTCAGTGTAGACGTGGGCTGTGGGCTCTGGTGGGAGGAGAGGGACACCTAGCTCCTGGGCTCAACCCTAGTGAGCAGAGGCTCGGAAAGGGGGCCTGGCTGTGAACCAACACTGCTAGCAGCTGGGCAATGGGTGTATGAGCTCAGTAAAGTGGATCTGGGAGGAGCAAGACCGGCACCCATGGAGCCTTACATCCTTATGCAGGTCAAGGTCACTGTCCATGCTTCACATTCCTGGACCCAGGTTGGGCACCAAGGCCACCTACCCAAAAAACCAGAGCCTTAGGCAAAGCCTTCTCCGTGCAGTTACCGAGAAGACGCCCAAGCGCTGCCGTTTCTTTTCCTTGCTGTAGGCCAACAGCTCTTCCGGGCAGGGAAGGGGTCCCCACGCCATCCTCTGTGAACCTAAGCCAGGCAGTGGCGGTTCTTGAGCACAAACAGCCTCAGGGGTCAGGAATTGAGACAGAGTGTGTGGAGGTTTCCTAGTTTCCAGTTATACAAGGAAATAGCATTGGCTTTGAAGTTGCAATATCTATGATTTATGGTATTTTGAAAATTGATTCATATTGAATCATTTTATAGTATCAGACCAGCATACTTCCTCATTAAGTAGAAAAACAAGCCAGAGACAAATCTGTTTTAGACTCCCAGATTTTCTTATTGTAATTGAACCATGAAGCTTTAATATTAAGAGTAAAAAGAAATGGAATGATACAGTTTTAAAACTGTATGAATTCTGATGAGGACAAAGGAAATGGTGGCTTTTGTGGAGTAGGTGGAAGGGAAGTGGGGGAGGGAGAATGACAGAAATGAATTGTTCCAGATCAAAGGAGAAAACCAGTATCATGTTAAAAATATTGAAACACTTTGCTCAAAATTGACTTGATATTTCTAATGTAACTCATTTTTAGAATTTTATACACATGGACATACAAAATGGGATCATGAGAGTTTGTAATCCTTTTAAAAAAATAAATAATGATTATTTCCATCTATTATAAACATTTTTTCTAAAACATATCTTTAAATGGATAGTCTTCTGCTTTATGAATGTGTCATAATATATTTAACTAATCATCTTTTGAACATTTAATTTATTTGCAGGGCAGCAACATTTTGATTTAATTATACACAGGACCAAAGTACCCTAAATAAATAGGCTGGATTAATATTGTTTGGTTATAGGATTGACTTTGCCATTAAATGAAATTTGTAAAAGTACATCTGCATTTCAGAACAATAGAATTTACTGTGGTTGTGTTCTTACTGAAATATCTCATGTGATGAAGACTAGTGCTATTTAAAAGTACAATTTTAAGGCCAGGCATGGTAGCTCACGCCTGCAATCCTAGCACTCTGAGAGGCCGAGGCAGGAGGATGACTAGAGGTCAGGAGTTTGAGACCAGCCTGAGCAAGAGTGAGACCCCATCTCTATTAAAAAAAAAAAAAAGAAAGAAAGAAATTAGCTGGACAACTAAAAATTAGCCAGGCATGGTGGCACATGCCTGTAGTCCCAGCTACTTGGGAGGCTAAGGCAGGAGGATCGCTTGAGCCCAGGAGTTTTTTGAGGTTGCTGTGAGCTAGGCTGACGCCACCGCACTCTAGTCCGGAAAACGGAGTAAGACTCTGTCTCAAAAAATAATAATAAATAAATAAAATAAAATGAAATAAAAGTGCAATTTTATTTTAAAATTATCCAATAAATATGTATTATAGTTCCACAAGCAGAATTTTCCATTCCAAGACTTCTGAGGTTAAGGAAATTGGTATAATCCTTATTTCTAAAGTAAAATTAAAATAATTCCACAATAAACTCATTATATTAAGCAGTTAATGACTTCAAGAAAATGATTTTTAATTAGAGAAAACTCAACAAATGACATTTAATCACTAGCTTTTTTCATAAGTCATTCATGACTAAGAAAATTTGAGAAATCCCACTTGCGCTGAGAGCCAACACAGAGCACGCGGCCGGCCGGCGCTCGGAGGCCCTGCAGGCTGAGCTGCGCCCTCAGCCCCCCTCCCAGCTTGCCCACCCACAGGTTCTTGCTTGTGAACCGGGCAGGGTGATGCCGTGTGATCTCTGCGGTTACTTCTAGCCCAAGAACAGAAATTCACATCAAGATAGGCCCCGGGCCAGGGTAGTGCATTTCTATGATTTTGAGCTCTTTAGAACACACACACTCTCTTACTTTAAAACAAATATTAAAAGACTGATTCCAAACTCAACTATATCACTAGCTTTCTTAGATTTCACCTTTGTGTCAGTTTCTGCATTTATAAAGTGAGTGATTAAACTAGAACAGACAGAGACTCATAAGTTTTTAATACTGGAAGGTACTTCTTTGAACCAATCAATTCGTTCCTTTTCCAAATAAGAAGCTTCATGATAAAGAGGTTAAGTGACTTGTCCCAGGTAGAACAAAGTAAGGGGCCAAGCTCAAGTTCATGCTCAGGTCACTTGATATCTAAATCTAGTGTTCTGTCACTTGGCTACCAATCTCTATAGCATTTTGCTCTGATATTTATGAATTTATACTAGGGTTTATACTATGAACATTATGACTAGAATCTTATAAATTTGACATTTTTTTAGGTTGCTCAAAATTGGCAATTAGCTAAGCATATTCGAGTGCTCTTTAAATAGGAGAATGTTGTTTTGGTCGTCACCCTTTGAGAATAAACTTAAACCACGATTTATCATCCTCAGACTCAATCCTGTGGCTAAAAGGATAGCCAAAAATAGTAACACAGAAAAATAGATACAAACAAGCAGTGACACAGGGCTAAGCAAATGATGGCAGAGCAGCCTGTGCTGCTTATTAGATTCAAGTCTTAAAATAGGAGCAGGGATAATCCAGTGGACACAGTCTTATTTTGAAATAAAATGCTTTATATTATTTCAAACATCAGCTGTCCTTGGAGTTAATGTTAATTCAGCTTTGCAACAAGTTACTTTGCAGATGGCACAGTGTCTCAACAGATTTGCCTACAGCTGGGACCAAATTCAGATAGTCTTGCTCCTTCTCTGGAAGCTAAAGCCTCAAGCGAGTCGTAACTTGCAGACAGTGGCAGGAGCCCCTCGGGGGCGGCGAGGCGGGCGGGAGGACTCTCGGATCCCATCCTGTCTCTGACGCAGGTGCGGCAGATCGCGTGTGGTCAGCGCTGGAGCCAACAGCGCGGGTGGCCCGGAGGCCGCAGGTTGCTCAGGCCTGCGCCGGCGGCCGGGCCTGCTTTCCTGCGCTTCCTCGTCAGGAACACAGCGTTTCTTTCTTTCTTTCGTTTTTGAAATATACATTTTTAATTACCTATTTTTAATTGGCAATGATCGTGTATATTATGGGGTACAATGATGCTCTGATCTATGTATATGTTATAGAAAGATTCAATCAAGCTAATTAACTTTCACCTAACCAACTTACCGGTATTTTTCTGTGGGGGGAACTAAATATCTATTCTTTAGCAGTTTTGAAATATGCAATACATTGTTATTAACTGTGGTTATTTCAGTAGAGTTCTTGGGCGAGTTTACTTGAGGAGTGGGAAAATGGAATTACCCCACTCCCCGTTTATTGGTTAAGC